GTCTGCAAGCTTAACATGCCTGTTCTTGTGTTCCCTTCAAGTTTCAGTCTTGGAGGGGGTTTATCCTGAAGGAATTTGATTACTTGCAATGATGGCTCCCCTGTGAACAACTTGCTTGTTCTTGTAGTAGCCAATCAAACTGCCATTTTTGTTTTGGATTTTTCCTGCTAATCTTTCTTTAAAGAAGCACCTTCTGTTCCTGTAGCTACTCCATGTTCGTATGCATCTCCTTTCAAGTGGCAATGTCCTACCTCAGAATGGGGCTCGAATTCCACATAAGGCCCTATATACAACAAAGGCTCCGCCAGAAGCCTGTTTCACTGGTTAAGCTCTAGAACCCCTTTTAGATACTCCAATCAGTTATAGGCTGACAACAGACTTAAAAGTTTTCTGTAATCATGTTTCCTGATATTCCTTTCTATCCAACTCAAGTGTTTATTTTACAATAGTAGGCAAGGTAAACCCACATTAATAAGACAGTTAAGCATCTTAATATTATTTCCCCTCTTTTACTCATTCAGACTATGCCTTGATCCCTGTATCACAGAGTCCTCTTGTTCCAAGGTTGAGCATACATCACTATTTACCTCTGTTTCATTTAGCCCGTGCAAACCTGCCTCAGTGTTACCCTATCTACCTTGTTCTTCCATCCCCTTCCCATCCTTAACACCCAAACTATGCTGTATCTATCCCCTAACCCTGTGCTCTACCATCCCATCCCTCCCACTTCTGTTAACCAACAAAGAATTTTTTTTCTTTCCTATTGGGTCGGACCCGACTCAACGGCACTTAACAACAACAACAACATAGTATGGGTATCTTTTCTTGAGCTTCATATTTTTAATGTATACATGTTCTTCGATTTTCATTTTCTTGGTATGCTGTAACATTAATTTTCTTTGTGGTTACCCTATATTCTATTAACTTTTTCCTCCGTTTCAAGCAGTCTCTTATATCCTGCACACTACCTGATTTCCTCATCACCTGGATCTCTGTTCCTATATGTTTACCTTCTTTCACATTATAATTGTTTTGATCACAGACTGACCACTCAGATCCTCTGAATTCGTTCCTGTAGTTATGTTCTGTTCTGGACTCTTCCATCTGTCGATTGAGTTCCAAGGTGGTGTTTCCACACGTTTCAATCTCTGAGTGTTGTCTGTTCTTCTTGATTCTCAGTCCAGAGAACTCCCTTTAGTATGTTTTGAAGCACTGAGTTGGCTTTGATCAAGTCCCTTAGCAGTTCGAAAGTCAGTGTTCTGCGGGAGAAAGATGAGGCTTTCTGCTCCTGTAAAGATTTACAGCCTCGGACCCTGTAACCCTGTACAGGGTCGCTATGAGTCAGAACCGACTCCACAGCACATAACAACAACAATAATAATGGTATTTCAGTATCTGCTATACCAGTGTTGCACACATTTCTGTGTACGTGATATATGACCAAACAGAACCCACTGTCATTAAGTCAGTTCTGACTCGTGGCAACCCTATATATGGTTTTATTGACTGTAAATCTTTAACGGCAGCAGACAGCCTTATCTTTCTCCCTGGAGGCTACCTTGCAGTCAACAGCCTGATGTCTAACCCTCAGTGCCACCAGCATTTCTTCCTTCACACATTAATCTGTTTTAATAAAAATGTTTCTTATTTTATTTTCAGTGGCATGGTATATACCAACAACAACAAATGACAGTTAACAGTTGCTCACGGTTTTATGATGTTACAAGATAAGCACTGAACTTCTAACCACAGGTTAGCTCTTTAAACCCAGCATTCTACAGAAGAAAGATAAGGCTTTCTTTTCCCTTAAAAATTTACAGCCTCACAAACCCTGAATCTGAACTGATTTCAAGGCATCTAGCAACAAAAATAAATGTGTAGTTGTATCTCGGTATGGTTTTAATTTGCATTTGTTATGACTAATGATGTTAGCATTTTTTTT